ACCCTTTTATGTAATGATTTTTACTTTGAATTTATATTAGTTCACACAAACACTCCATCCATGCTTTTGTTCCGGCCCTCCGGTCCAGTTTAAGAACCCATTGTGGCCCTCGAGTCAAAAAGTTTGCCCACCCCTGGTATAGTGCATGATAAATAACAAACAAGGCTTTCAAAAAATGTCAACAAGCTAGAATGGTAAAATCTAAAATTTTATATTTGCTCAAAAAACAAAATTTACAGGAGAAACCAAGATGGCGGCATAGGTAAACACTGGAAATTGCTGCCTCACACAACCACTTCAAAACTACAAGTAAAACAAAACAGACATCATCCAGAACCACAGGAAGGCTGGCTGAGTGGAAATTCTACAACTAGAAGGAAAGAGAAAAGCACACTGAGACTCAGGAGGTGCGGAAGTAAAGTGCAGAGGTACGGAGGCGCGCACTCGGAAAGAGGACACCGGAGTCTTTTTCAATCGGGAGGGAGGCACAAGCTCCCAACAGCCCTGACTCCAGTTCCGGGAGAGTCTCTGGGGAGAAACTGGACTATCTGGCATCGGTCGGAACTCGAGGGCGGCTTTCTCTCAGAGGTGCTTGCAGCATAACCATGGGACACTGAGACGGGACACTGAGACCCGGGGGCCCCTTAGGGCAGGGCTGAGGATCAGCCATAGCTGTTTGCTCCGCCCTGTTGATTCCCTGAGACCCCGCCCCACCCAAGCTGTGCGCAGAGGCTTTTGCATATGAATGCCCTGGCCCTTTGCAATCTAAAAATACCTAACTAACTGCAGCTGGGTCAGAGAAACCCAAAACATCCAAAAGAAGGCCCAAGGCCCCACAGCAGCTTGCATTGCTTCACAGCTGGGCCTCATCTGGGCACCTCCAAACCTCAAACAAGGGAGAGGAATCTGCAGATCTCTCCGCAGCTCCTGCTGGGTAGCCTCAGGCAGAGGCTAAATTAGCACCTCCTTAGAGATCCAAGAGCCCGTGGACCCAGTGGTCAGAGTGGGACCATCCAGATTACAACTCCTCAGATCCATAAGG